ATATTATTAAAAATTTAATACTTTTATAATAAATTATATAATGTGTTCTAAGTAAAATAAAAAAAAATGTAATTAATTATTGATTTTTAAAGATAAATAAATAATAAATTATTATTAAAATTTAAAATCACATATCTTACTATATATTAATCTCAAAAATATAAAAAATACTATCATTTAATAGGTCTTAATTAGATAAATTCAATAAACTAAATTAAAAATTTAAAAAATTGATATAATTATTAATTTTAAAAATTTAATATATTTCAATATGATAAATCAATAAACTTTTTTTAATCTTTTTATAATCATTAGATAAATATTTATAAGTTTTCTAAAATGTTTTATAAACAGTTTTATACTTACATTTTAAGGAATACTATTTATATACTGTATGTATCTAATTTTTAATAAATATTTTAATAAAATTTTAAAGAATTAATTAAGTTTAAGGATTTAATATTAAATTTCTAAAAAGGTTTTAAATATAATGATCTATAAAATGATTTAAAAGAACTTTTTATAACAAATTATTTTTACTTAAAGTAAAAAAAAAAATACAAATTAAATTACAGATGCTTAAAAATTTAATATTTATTTATCAGCTATTAAAAATCACTTTATTATATAGTCTATATAATCTCAAATGGAATTAAAGAAAAAGCAATACGTTCTTCGTATTATTCTAAGAATTGTGGATAAATTTACTTGTACCTGTGTAAATCTCCTTGATTTTAATAATTTATTTTTCTTTGTATCATTCCGATTTTCAGTTGAAATTCTGCTTTACTTTTTGATATACCCTTTTTTTTTTCTTGTCGCCTGTTTACATTATCCTATGCTAGCCTTCTAAGGTTTCTTCTTCCATTATACAGTTTATTCGTTCCTTTGTTCATATATTTTTTCCCTTTAACTTGTTTCTTTCCCTTCTTTAATTTTCAATTTCAATTTCTCCTCCTTGTTCTGTTCGTTCATTTATAATATTATTTCTAATTTTCTCTATTGTTTTTCTTATTTATCATTCATCTAAAAATATTTCATCATCACCATTTTATTGCTTAATACAAATAATATTTCCATTTTTTTTTTTTCTTTATTAAAAATAGCATCCTAAGTATAAAGTTAATTTTCCTTCAACGGAGCAACAATAATTGTAACAACGGAAGGGTTTCTTAAAAAAAAAAAAAAATCACATTATCACCTCAGTGAAACTGTCTAAAATAAACATTAAAAAGGAGCTTGCCTAACAAAAGGAAAAAGGAAGATTTTGTATAACGGAGGTTGGCAACGGATAAATTTAATGCCGTTTGAAGTTTTGTTTGCAATGGAAAGCAGGGGGGTAATTTTTTTTGCCATATAAATTCACTTCCGTCTCAAAAAAAAAAAAAAAAAAAAAAAATAATATTTATATGCTTCGACAAATCATCAACAATACAACCTTAAAAGTGAATTCATTTATAAATCATTTTTCAACAAATAACAAAATGTCTAATCTTGAAAAGGCTACATTCGCCGCTGGTTGTTTCTGGTAAAAGAAAAAATTGGTTTTTGTAATAAAAAATTTCACCCGTAAAGATATAAACGAAAACCAAATTTATTAATTCGATAAATACTTTTTTTAATAGGGGAGTTGAACATATTTTTAAGAAACATTTTAATGATATCAAAACTCGTGTTGGATATATCGGCGGCCTTAGCCCAAATCCAAAATATAAAGAGGTATATTGATAATTTACGATACTCTATGACCTACATATTATCTGACATTCATTTTAACATTTATAATAAAGGTCTGTAACGGTACTACAGGACATGCGGAAGCTTGTCAGATAGAATTTGATCCAACAACGACAACATACGAAACGCTCGTAGAATTTTTTTATAAAATTCATGATCCCACTACCGCAAATCGACAAGGACCCGATGTTGGCACACAATATCGTAGTGCAATATTTTATCATTCACCTGAACAGAGAATATTAGCAGAAAAGGTTACAAACCAAATACAAGAAAAGCTATCTAAAGAAAAAAAATTATATAGTGGAAGCAAAGTTGTTACTGAAATTATTGAGGCAGGCAAATGGTATGACGCTGAAGATTATCATCAAAAATATTTAGTAAGTGAAGAGATAAGAAATTAAAATTTGTGATGATTTAAATTTTAAATGAAGGATTACTAATGTTAATATTCTTAATTAATTTTTTAGGAAAAAAATCCATTTGGTTATGAGGTGAGGAATATGTCAATTTGTATTTTATTTTATCTGTGTAGTAACTTAACTAATTTTATTTATTTTTATTTTTTTATGAAAAAAAGTGTCCTACTCATTATGTAAGGTGGTAATTTAATAACGAAAGTATCATTATTAAAAAAAATGCCAATTCTTAAGAAGTATAAATGATTTTGTGATGGTTCAAAACGAAAAAAGGCTCGGTCAAATTGATCAAAAAAAAAAAAAATTTATTTAATTATTTCTTCTGTAAAAGTGCAGACATCTGGGTGATCTCACTGTGCTCTGCGCCTTCATACTGCGTCTTGAATTAAATAATCATTTCTCGTTTCTTTAATTATACCGAAAGTGCAAATCAATACAAACGTTCTAAACTGTCCATTTATATATAAGAAAATGTCATTTCGAAATGGAAGAAGAGTCAGACTCGGAGAAATTATGTGTGATTCGTTCCTTTCCACATGTACAATAATAATAATATTAAAATTCTGCAAAGTTATTCTTGCAAATCTAATGATTTTGTTACACTAATTTCTGCTCCTAAAATTGAAACAGTCTAATATCAACAAAATATCAAAATTTTAACCTGCATTAAGTAATGAGGTTATTAGCAATATATAAGATCTTTCAACATACCGGTCAAACTCTACACATTTAATACATTTAATGCTAAATTATGTTGAAATTAGTACACTATATGATTTGATTTGTAATTTGCATTTATGGTGTTCACCGACAATGGACATTTAAGCGTAATGGACACTTGATATTACACATATATTAATAGAAAACCTTGTATATTTATTTATATTTCCAAAATCTCTCATTGCTCCACATGAACATTCATCGTTGTTGTCAGTAACGTACAGTCGCCAAGAAGGAGAAAACGAAGTTAATCACAAAAGTAATTTGAAAAGATGATGAATTTTGGTTTAAGCAAAGAAATTTGGAAAGGTAGAGAGAAAACTAGTTTCAGAAGCATTGTAAAAATTTTATTTGCTATCATTTGAGGCGCAGAAAATCATCATGTTCTCATCATTTTACTCGACTCGAAATTTCAAGTCAAAATGACCAAGGTCATTTGAAAATATAGTAAATGACCTTGATTTGATTAATAATATGTAGATAAAAAAAAAAAATAGTTCCCGAAATTCTGTTCACAACCTTGTAAGATGCCTAATTTTGCATAAAAAAGTTAAAACTTCAAAAGTTGAGATGATTATGCGAGAATAATCCATCTATGAGATAAAAAGGAGCTCTCTGGAAAAAAACAAATTTAAATAGCTCTAATTTTTGCAGGAAAAAAAAAAATTTTAATACCCTTTTCAAACAAAGGTATACTACTACTAATTTACCATGAATCAAGCCGATAATTACCCTAAACAGCAACAACCAGCTTCTTTCTTTTATATTAACGATAACGACATTCAAAGTACTTTTAATAATAATGTTGAAATGAACAACTTGCCCACTACGACTCAAAATACATTTGAATTTTATTTTCCTTTGCCGAATCTATCATGTCACCGAATTTAAGTTCACTGGAAATCGCACGAGCGTTGATAAATTTATAACAATTTGCCGCATCATTACAGCAGGTTCAGCAACAAGTTCAACAACTTGTTCAGCAACCCGTTCAACTACACGTTGAAATCCAAAACTTGTCAGAATGATACTTTGATTTTTACTAATATGGGATTGTTTAACCAAAGAATTAAGTTGATTGTATAAAATTATTACAAGGGTACAAATTATTAATCCATTTAAGTGATAGTTTCGATCTTTCGGAAAATATACAATTTTCATTGGTTGATTTCATTTGGAACTTTCTTGAAAAATTTTCTGAGAAATAAAGTAACAAAAAAGTTGTAACGTGAAAGAAGATGATAAAAACTTCCTGATCGATCCTGAAGGCTGCAACCAAACTGCCAAGACTTTTTTTAATTGGCAAAATAATTATAATTTAAAATACTTGAGCTTGTTCAGATAACAAAATTTTGAATTTCTTTTTATGAAATATAATTATTCGTTTTCAATATCTCCTCGGTAATTAAAAAAGAATATTTCTTTATAAAATCTAAACCGGTCATGTGCCACAGTGACTAATAATACACAAAGCGTGGAATATTAATTGAAGGAATATATATATTGTATAATTAGGAAAAAATAAATGATAAGGAAAGCACAATGTTCTTTCTCACTTGCTAATGTTAAAATGTTGTTCGCAAGGAACAAAAAGAAACCAATCTTATCTCTCATGATATGCGCAATCATCAAATCGAATAATGATTTTCATTTGTCTTTTATTTCGAAAAAATAATCATATTAAAGCTAAGTTTTACTTTATGACCACATTACACATGATATTCGAGAATCACTTAAATGATCGAGTTTTTCGCGTTAAAGATATAGAGATGAGTCTATTTCCGTTATTCATTCATTGAAGAAGCTGTCAAGAAAAATCTTTATCAGAAACGAAATTACCGTTAAATTTTCCCCCATTGCTTTCAATATTTGTATAATATGTATATGATGACATTTTCGAAACATTCGGTAGCAAACGACGATGTTGATTTAAGGCGCAAGTTTAAGAATTAAAAAGCAATAGTTTTTATTATTCTTTGCATCACTTATAGGAATTATATATTGAAATCGTGTTCCATGTTAATTCCATGGATTGTAAATAATTGAATCCCGCCATAGCATTTTTGGAAATAAAACTCGTTCTTTTTTTTTTTCACCCACTTTTCAATTTCATTATTCTAAATCATGTACCCATCACAAACCGTCAAAGAATTCTTTGCTAGAGATACAGTAATTATAAAATATTTATTTTAAAAATTTTAACGAAATTTTACATCTAAATGACTTTTGATCCTCTTAGAAAATTCCGATTAAATTCAATCAAAATGTTCAAGGACTTGGAAGTTTAATCGGAACAGATAAAACTAAAGTAAAGATAATTTTTCCCAATTTTTTTCTAAAATAATAATAATAATAAAATCTTTTCAAATTTATAGGAAATTTTGAAAGATCAAATTGTTGAATTTCCTTTCTACATCGCAAAAGAACTTGTCGAAAGGTTAGATTCTTCAACTTATTTCCAAGGCTTCGTTTATGTGCGAAATGTAATTTCGAAGTTTGATCAATAAATTTGTTATTATAGAGAAATTTCAACGTTGCAACTACCAAAGATGTTTGCAAATGATGTAATGAATGCATTAAAAGTTACTCCCATTAATATGAATTTAAGAAACTATTGTCCTCAATTTTACACTTTTGCTTCTGATTACATTTTACTGTATCCTTACTTTCATCTTGACAATACCTTTAACAAAATGTTTGGTCTTCTTTAACTTACGTGTCTCCTTCCGACCAAAAAAGGTGGCAAGTAGTTATAAATCGGGAATATCAACTTTATGGTGATGAAAGACAATATCAATTGGATTTAACCAAAATAAACGAATTCTCGGATATTCTCAAAAGGGTATCTTTATCTATAATGTTGAAATATTGTTATTAGCTCAATTCTGCTTTACTTAAATAGATTTTTTTTGCGATTACTTTTCAAGAGTAAAATCGATCGAGCTGTGGAAATATTGAATAGAGCAAAACGTTTTTTTGAGGACCATAACGATTTCTTGGAAAAATTGGATGACGAGGAAAGAAAAAGTAAGTAATTAATGATGAAAGGTGATTATGAATAAGAAAAAAATTTATAACCTGATTTTTTTTTTGGTTAGTGTTTGAGGAGCAGAGGCAAGTATGTGAAGAAACTTATGTTGATTACACAAAGATTTGTACATTATAAAAATCGGTTTATATAATTCCCATAAATGAACTCGATAAAGACTAGAATGATTTGCTTTTGAATTTTCTCTTTGAAGATTTTTTTATATAATAAAGAGACTCGGACATCTTTTATGAAAACCTTTATCTCACGTTTTTTATCAATGACCTTTTCTCTTTTTTTTAACAAGATCTTTGATAAATGTACTTAACACATTATAAATAATTAAATCATCCTCGGGCCTTACCTCTCCGCTTCATTATCAGCCCACTTTAGTCATTTCCAGCTTTTTCTTCATTTCTTTGGTATGAGGAATCCGAATTTGGATTAAAAATGCTGCTGAAAAGTTACATAGATTCGACCTTACTTTTTAATAAAAGATAAAAGAAAGGTCGTTTTTATGAAGTTCATTACGCGTTATAAAACTTGAACGGATAGTGCAAAAAAAAAAAAATCAAATATTTGGTTGTAGAATGATTGATAGTTAAATGAGTTAATTGACATGTTATCCGTTCGTGCTATTTATCACGAGAAAATAAAATAAAATAAAATAAATTATCTATATGAAATGTCGAATTGATGTTGTAATTGCTGCAATATTATCACACCGAATGTCGACAGTTCTCTCCTTTACATGGTATTGAATAGTAATAAAAATCCACAAGATGTTAATTTAACGAATTCGATTTGTCAGTGAGAAAAAATAATTGACATTGAAATATTGGTTGTCTAACCATAACAATTTTTTTTTTATACATTGTATTCAAGACTTTATAATAAAAGATTTTCATAATTTATTTTTCATTGATATTTTAAGTTTCGAAAACTGCTTGATATTCAGTCTCTTGAACCTCTATTAAATCCTTATGAAAACTTTTCAGATGCCTCTCAAGATCATAGTTTCTTTTAAACATGTATTTGCAAGAATTAATTAAACATTTTATGTTCCTGCCCCTTTCATAATCGTAGCCTGTAAGGTGTTCAACATCTGTAATAGATCTGTTTATCTTAGAATCCTTAATATCACCATCCAATTTACGAATTTTACGTGGGCGTGATTGCTATTATTATTGCGAGGAAAATTATGTATTTTTTTTTTTAGCGAATAATTTTTTTTTTTTTTGGAAAAAATAAAAGTATATCAATTACCTCATGAATAGTTTTGACATGATTTGTTAAAACTTTTTTATAAGCAAATGACATCTCACAAAACGGAATTTCACAAACAAATGGACGAATATTTTTATGAATTGCTTTGGTATGAACACTTAATGATTTGATCTAAGAAAAAGTAATCGGTATGAAATCATTATTTACTCTCTCCCAAATCAGAAAAATCAATTTCATGAAAAAATCTTCTTTTCGAATGCAAACTCACACTGAGAAAATATTTATCGCAACCTTCCCAGCTACAAGGAAACAATAAACGATCGGGATCATGAGTTTTCATATGAAGTCTCAATTGTTTAAAGTCTTTAACATTTTGATAACATATTTCACATGTCGGTTTATGATCTTGACGCAAATGTTTACACAATTGATCATATTTGACGAAATCTTGCGTACACCCTTGGAATGCGCATCGCCATCGTTTTTGTCCTGATAACCAAAAAAAAAAAAGTTTTCAGCTGAAAAAAAGAGATTCCTAAGATGGTAATAAAACCTATAAATGAAATAATACCGGAATGTATTCTCTCGTGATCTCGTAATTTGGTGGAAGAAGAAAAGCTTTTCGTGCACTCGGGATGTTCACATGGATAGGGTCTTTTCCCCGTATGTATAGTCATATGACTTCTTAACAAGTAACCTTGCGTGAAAGATTGATTACAGTCTCGTATATTACACTATTTAACGGAAGATGAATGAATTCCTTAGTGAAATAAGTCAAATCCAAACAGAAACGCGATGTTAATACCTTGAAGGGCCTTTCAATTTCATGCTGTTCCCTTTTATGTCTCGTTAGATGACTTTTAAGAGAAAATTTAGATTCACACCCAACCACCAAACATTTAAAAGGTTTGGTATCTTCACCATGCGTTACAGCATGAATACGTAAATGATCTATACGTCTATATGATTTCCCACATCCTGATTCACAACACACAAAAGGTCGCTAAAATCAAATTAATTTTTGAAAAAGATCAAACTTAATTTAAAGGTGATGCAATCATTCCCAAAGACATTACCTCCTCAGAATGTGTTTTCTCATGCTTTTCAAGTCGACATCGAAATTTAAATGATTTATCACATCCCTCAAAGGTACATTCCCAGCAACGATCCCCCTTCATCGTACCATCAACAATAAAACTTTTATTATTTTGATCATCCTCTTGTGACTTGTCTAAAGATGATAGATGATCAGTAATTGCATTCATTTCTTCGAATTCATCGTTACTTATTCCATTTTCATGTAAATGACTTTGTTGACCATTATCCGTTGATTTCTTATATGATTCTTGTAAAGTTTGCTTAGAATTTGTGATATTAATTTCTATCATGGTTATAAATAATAATCCATTATAATGGACAAAAGAATTAAAAAAAAAAAAAAAAAAAAAAAAAAAAAAAAAAGGATCGACTTAAAAAAAATTATGGAGTTACACAAACTAAAACCCGTACATAAAAAAAAAATTTTCTTTTCCCCCCGGATAAATAAAATGTCAACACCCAATCATATAACACATCTCATTCGTATCGACCATCTTTGTAAAGATTGGTGTTCAAAACATTCTCGTTCTTGCGCGTACTTTTCTTCTATATTAAACATATTAACGCAACGAAAAGATACTTCTAATTTTCTATTTAGCTCAAACAATGCCAACTCTTCCAAAAACTTTTCTTGCACCAATTTAATACCTTCTTCATCTCATAAAAATCTTCCTTTTGCCTTACAACCGCAATCTTTATCTTTATTGATTTATAAGCAATCTCATGAAATTGAAGAAATACTGACAGCAATTCATTCTACTTTAGAAGAATTTGAAGAAATCATTAATTTAATGAATGGAATTTTAAATCAAAGTAATAAATTAGTTAACCCGAATCAAGTATTTTTATCAACTAACACGTCTTCGTCTTCTCCCGAGTCACCTAAGAATACCAACTCCATATCATCAACGCCACCTACAACACCAACAAAATCATCTAAAAAAAAGAAGTCAAAACAATCTCCCAAGAAATCAAAATCAACTCCACCGAAGAAGCAAACAATTAATTTATTTGATAATTTTGACAATCCAGTTGATATAGCTGATATACCAATTATCACATCAAATTATTATATTGTTAGAATCGTCGAAATGTATGAAAAGGAATTATGTTATAAAAAAAATTTGATTTTCGGGGGATGTCTTAAGATCGATCATAATGATGAGGAAAATGGAATAAATAACATCAAATTGATTAGTGAAAGATGGGCCGTTCAACCTTATTTGCTGTTTGAGGTGGAAGAAGAAATATTTGATAGAATTAAAATTTGGAAGCGAGTTAAAGAATTTGAAGCTATGAAATAGATATAACCAAGTCAATATCAGACAATCCGACTCAAATATATATATATATATATATTAACAGTTAAGTTTAATGATTAGAAAATTCTTTTAACCAGCTCACTTAATACAAAATAATTATTGGCTAAATTAATAATATATGTATAATATATATAACTATACATTTTTGTTTTGTAAAAGTAAGAAAAGGAATGAATAAAATTTGTATTAAATTAATAGAGAGATTATATGTTGTATTTTACTAATAATTTATATAGATTTATGTGTAGGCGGGTATATAATAAATATTTGGTAACCAAATCCAGTTATCTTTTAACTTTTTTAATGAAAAAAAAAAAAAATTGTTCATAAAAATTAAATACAAAATGTCTGTTTTATACAAAAATAAGTTAATGTCCGTCCATTTATCGGCAAACAGCAGGAGTTAAAGTTACTCTTATGACATCATCCTTGTTAATTGAACTTTTGCCGATGTTTTCATTTTCGTCAGGATTATAATTATCGGAATTGACCGAATCCCGATTGTCATTTGTCATTTCTTTACCTTTGGAATTTGAATTATTTACTATATTATTGATATCCATTGTGTTTGTTGATATCGTCGAGGACGAAGCTGAGTAGTCCCCCTTAATTGAACCAGTTACTGACGAAGCTGGTATTAATGTTGGAGAAGCCAACGCGGTAGAAGTCGTCGTTAAAGCAGTTTTTAATGAACGTATTTTACCTATACGTGTACTTTTATTATTTGCTTCTGATTTTGCTATAATTTCTTCAAATTTTTGCATCTTTCGTAGCTTTTCGGAATTTTCTGTCGCTGCCGGTGACTTTGTTTGTTGACGTGTGTAACCAGAGCTTGCAGATCCTCCGGGACTTAATGGCCTTGAAGAACTAGGAAAATTGGGTGATCCTGGCAATGAAGGAATTCTTGGAGACAGAGGTGAGCGTGGAGACAGTGGATAATTTGGTGTCGTTGATCGCGATTTCAGCGAATTTGGCTTCGTAAATCGAGATTTCGGAGGATTTGAACTTGAAGATCGTGATGATAAGGGGTTCGGTGACGTTGCTCGTGATGATGCGGGCGTTTTTGTTATTGGTATATGCGATGCTAATGAAGAAGAAGATGGAGGAGGATTTGGCGAAGGTGATCGTGAATATCGTGGTAGAAAAGAAAAGCTTGTTGGAGACTTTATTGGTGATTTTGGTGATCGGGGTAAGAGAGAAAAACTTGATGATCTCGGTGATAAAGAGAAATTTGTTGGAGATCTTGGAGATAACGGGATTGTTGGGGAGCCATGCAGGGATGTTGGTTGACTCGATTGTTCACGTTTATTGAAAAAACCAAAAAAGCTCATTCCACGTTTGTTAAATCTTGGCGTTGTAGGAACAGGTATTGATGAAACTGGTGAAGTAACAACGGGTGATGTAAATATAGGTGACGTGACCTGATTCTCGGAATCTTTTTCAATATTATCAATCGTCGGTTTAATAAAATCTTTTAAGATGTCCAATTCCTCTGAAGGTGTTGTGGTCGCGGAATTAATTAAAAAAAGAGGTGGTGGTCCTACACTAAAATTATTTCTTTTCGGCTCTGAACTTTTTCGTGATGATAAATGAGTAGGAAATGGTGGTTGTTCGGAAAAAGTTGACTTCATAATTTCTCCAGCCATAGTTGGTAAATTGCAAAGGATTGGTGACAAATCGTTTGTTGTTTTTTGTTTCAATTTTAAATCAGTAGGTGTGATGTTTTCATTTGTTTTACGCCTAAACGATGGCTGTGATGAACTTTGTGATTCTTTTCTTTCGGACGTCACGACTTTTTTCGATGTTACATTCGATCTCGTTCCCGTTCCTACTTCTTTACTCTTTATGCCGTCGTTATTCTCTAACTTTACTTCAGTTTTGTTTATGCCATTCGCTTCCATTTTATTTACTCCTCTCTCCCTTCTTCGCCTTTCTCTCCTTACTTCTCTGTCTTCAAGTTTCGCGTTACTGCTTTTTTTCGTCCTTTTACGTATTAGTGGCCTTTGTTGATTCAGATTTTGTTGAGCCGCGTTAGCTACCACCAATTCAGTAAATGACGCGGCTAAGCTTTGTTCCAACAATTGTCTTCTAAATATTTGTGAAGCACGATTTGCTTGCTTAACTTCAAGTGAAACCCTTGTTCCTTGTGTTTGTGTTTGGGTTTGTTTCTTGTTTTTCTCTTGAGCGTTATTTTTAACTTGTGTCTTCTTCGTCGAACTAGATGATTCCGACTTTAAGCCAGCAAATGCATTTTTAGGGTTAAATGATTGTAAAAATGATCTTGAAGATTTATCCACTTGTATCGATGGAATTTTTTTGTGCATTTGATTAGAAGTCGAACGTTTCTTATTATGTTGAGGTAAAGGTATAAGTGAAGCATGAATTAATTTTGGAGGACCAATTGGACCAGGTATCCAGGGGAAACCTTGGCTTTTTATTTGAGGCAAATCTGCTTCCATATCAGTTGGGTCATTACTTGATAAAGGATTTGATGTGGGAGCGTATTCCATTTGACGACGTCTTCTTGTACCTTTTTTCACGACTTGCTGTGAACGTTTTAAAGGAGTACGTTTCGTAGATCGTGTTCTATTTACGTTTGAATTCTGTGGCTTTGACGTTGGAATTTCCGAAGTATTATTATTCTTATCTTGTACGGTAACAACTTGATTCAGTTTCCCTTTTTTAATCGGTATTCCTGAACGTTGCTTTCCTTTTGTGGGGTTGGGCGTTGATTATTATATTTGTTGTCATGTGACATTATATATTTGAAACCTTTACCAATCGAAACCGCGTTTCCTTTGGCGGGGGAAAAGAGAAAAGAAAAAAAAAAAAAAAAAAGAATGATTTTATAATATATATAAAATTTGTTGGATCCGACAAAGTATCATCCTGCGAAAGATCAAACACACCATGTAATGCATCTACTTTATAAATTCACCTCTCACGTCAAACATAATAATAATAATAATAAATACAAGGATCTGAAAAAAATAAATGCACGATCAGACAAAATAAAAACCCCGAGTTGGGATATCTCTTCTGTAGTGATAAGAAAATAATAATACAAACTTTATCTTTCATTAATCACATTATCAACTTCATCAACATTATCAGATTCTTTGTAAAATGTTTATATATATACATTGTATATCTTTTGTATATCAAAGTACAAAAGAACTAATAACTGAGGAGATATGATAATCTGTTCTCACAAAGAAAATCTAATGTTTATACAAAGATGCAAAACCATGCATTCATATCCATTCAATTTCATACGAGAAAGAACTGAGTCAGTATGTTATCATTAGTATTCGGCAAGATAATGCGTGAAATTTTTCCATTCCTTATCTCACTTTTAATGGAATGTGATATTTCGGTTACACGAGATTAAGATACAGTGCTGCGCCTTTGAATTTTCAACGCGAAACATTTAATATATGCATTTTTATAATAATTTTGTTATCTTTTATGAAGATAAGGCAAAGCGAATATTCATGTCGTGTAATTAGAAACGTAATTTGTTCATATTCAAGTTTCAATGCTGCGTCCGTGCCCAATATAATGATATGATAATTATTATGTCACGTTGATTGATTTGTCATTTCCATAGGTTAACTTTTATAACACCAATAATGTTCTTACCAAAAGTATCACGATTATTTGCAACGCGCTTTCTCTTTAAAATATATATCATTATCATTATTATTTTTTACCAAGGGCTAAGAACTTATTTTTATTAAATTGATCAATTAATCGTAATGATCTATCTTCAATAAAATTAATAATTTGAAAAAAGAATTCGAAAAAAATTATAATTTTCTCTTTTATTCTTTTTCTTATATACACATATATATTGGAACCATAGTGTACTTACGTAAATTTATGCCAATATTTTAATCCAGTGGTCCGCAAATAAATATTTCTCCACTTTCTTACATATACAATATCTTTTCTATTCTAAATTGACAATGGTTTTTGAATGATTCTTTCTTTCTAAATATCGGTTCGATTTCCTTTCGTTTGTTTCAAAAGGCATAAATAAAATCCTTCTTAAACCTTTAAGTTAGAAATTTTGTTGAAAAGCATTTCGATGCAATAATCAATTGTGCTCTATAAATTTATTGAAAAATTGATGTCATTCAACGTATTTTTTAAATATATGTTGATATTTTTGCAAAACATCGGATATTTTTCATCTAATGAGGTAATTTTTTTTATAATCATATCTTTTTTCTTTTTTCAATTATCTTAGTTTTGTCAACGCGACAACTTGAAAAGTGTTTAGTAATAAATTAATTATTCATTAGTAACTTCCATCCACCAACAATTATTAAAATATATACAAAGATGTCCATGTTCTAGATGTAGGAGTGCAATTATTATATTAATGATCTATTTGGGAAAATCTCGTGCCTAATCAATTTAAATTTTATACGTGTTTAAGTTAGTTTAAGTTGGATTAAATTGTCTTGCTGGAAACGGTGTTAGAAGAACGTTTCCATTAAAATTTTATTTAATCGCAGTTTTAGACATGATGTTTTATTTTATTAGACCACTGTGACGTAAGATAGTTCACACATTGACAATTAAAGTCGTTGTTTTTGAATCCAAGAGCGGATCAACTATTTTCTTACCTCGGCTAAGGAAAATCCGGTGATGAACAGTCCGGAAAAGAAATGGATGATCCTTCAAGCTGACGAGATTAAGTTCCACAATTAAAGACTTGTAGATGTGGACAAGACATACGCAAGTAGACAACATACAAGGAGGAAAAGTAATTAATATATTTGCATTGACCATTGTAAATATACTTTAATTTTTTTTTACAAATATCATATTTTTTCTGAAACTAGGTTATTTCCGTACAAATGATAGTCGAAAAAGTTCGTATAAATAAATAGCCGCACATCTTTACATCTTTTTACTCTCTTTTTCTTATTCTTTTACTTCAACTAGTTTACTTAGGTCAAAAGCTTTTGATT